ATATGACCACCGCCAACAACCCAGAGGCAGACGGCCAGACAGAACGAAGTAACCGCACCCTGGTGCAGTACTTGCAACTTTACACCCAACAGAACTCCTCTAACGGGCTCGATTTCCTTGCTTGTGCAGCATGCGTTTCTAATACTACAGTGCACTCGTCAACACTTTGCTCCCCGGCATGCCTGGTTTACACGAAAGCTCCACTAGCTGACCCGACGATGGATCTCGCTGTTGGAAGCCAGCCCCGAATGACCACGGCTTCTGGCATCCGCAAACAACGCAGCAGAACACAACGCAGCAGCGCGGGAATGCATGAGAAACGCACAGGAACGCTAAGACAAAAACTACGACAAAAGACGTTCAGAAGTTGCTTTCAAAACGGGCGCCTTGATTCTATTGGATTCGCAGGCCCTACGTAGCTCGCAGGAACACGAGCAGCCCCAAAAGTTTGCAACACGATGGTTTGAGCTGTTTGCAGTCCGCTCCTCGGTCAACGCGTTGGCGTACGACATTGAATTGCCCTTAACGTGATGTCATCACAAGATTAACGCTGGTTGCTTAAAACCGTTTCGGGAATCTCCGCGGTCCTCTCGCACACTGGTGTGGAAACAGCAGTAACGTCACCACGAGAAGCCACTCCTGGAGGATACAGAGATTCTAGAGGCACGTGCTGACGCTCGCACAGGCCATAAGGAGCGCGAGTACTATATAAAGTGGCCAAGCATCCGTGAACCTGAGTGTGTTTCGGAAGATCGCGTACGCGAAGCAATCCACCCAGAACAGCTACGAGCTCTAATTGACCGTGCAACACCTACAGTCAGTGTGCGCATGTAAACTGTGCGAGGAAATGGGAAACGGACGGTTAGTTAGTAACGGATCTCGTGTTACGCGTCAGCAAATACCCCTATTTTTACACTCAGGTGTCCTTGACAGCTAATTAACTTGCCTCACCATTTTCCCTTTCTCACGTACACAGCGAGCTTGTGGGGCGGACACATCAGACAAGCTGCATTCTCATCTGCTGGGGCTGGGCACCACATCTGGAGCTTTACCGGGAGCCCCACGCACCTGCAACAAGTCGCGGTGGGAAGAGAGACGCAGCTAGGAGAGCAAACAAGAAGGAACCCAGAGGGATCTGTGCAAAGCAGCAGCCTTATCACTCCACAACTCAGCGGGGGTGCGGGAAGCGGCGTCAGCAAGGCTAGCAAAGCACAGACGACCGGGTCGGGAAGGCACCGCCGTCCCTCCCTACGGTGGAGATCAAATGCCGGGATTGAACTATGACAGTTTCTCGATTGTTGATTGACCCCTCTGACGCAACCTCTCAATGCCAGGAGGAGCGTGCGATTGGCGCCGCAAGCAGCTAATCCTGCGCCCAATTGCTGCCGCCTGCACGCTTTCCTCCGTAAGAGGGGACGATCTTGCAGTTTAACACTGAGGGTTCAGTTATTCCTTTTGTTTTAGACTTACTTTCCACGTGCTCTATGTCTACAATCACTGGAACATTGCCGTTATAGCACTTGTTATCTGGCCTTTATCTAGGACAGAGGGGAGCCGCAATGTAGGTAAACACTTAAGGCAAGAGTTTCCCAAAAGCAGGTGACCCCCGCCGTGGCCCTAGGCATCCTGAACGCTGAGCTCAGGGTCTGGCTGTTGCGGGGAGGGGCAGTCAGAAACGGGGTTGCAGCGTACCCTGCTGCGGCTGGTAGTATACAAGCCAGCCCCACGTGTAACGCTAGTTCTCTGGCCTTGACCTGACCAGAGACGAGCCGCAATGAAGGCAAAGACTTAAAGCAA